TGAGTTAAGGACGGGATATATAATAAGACATCTCTTCGAAACACGCAATATATTTCTGTGAAATGCATGTTTTTATTCGCAACACATTATTTTCAAGACGTATAGAATATCTAATGAAACATTTTTGTTTTGGGCCAAAACCTGAGCACAAAGTATATTTTTATGAAAATATTTTTTAAACAATTTCCACGCTCTTTTGACGGTTCACTCCCCTTATGACTATTTCCCGTGTAGACTATTCTAAGTTTGACTACTCAAAAATGAGGTGGCAGAAAATGCTCACCTATGGAATAATGAACTAGTCCAGTCAGCTTAATTAGACCTTAGCCTTTAAATTAACGTTGTTCATGTATTTTTTAAATTATAGATGATTTTATATTTGTAAGTACAATTGGGTAGGACAAAAATAAACAAATATCGCCCTCTCATATGGTTTATTAAGTGAGTATGGTTTTACGCCGTTTTTATGCAATATTCTAGCAGTATCACGGCAGGGGACATCAGAAATGGGCTTCACACACTGTACCCATGTCGGGAATCGAGCCCGGGTCTTCGGCGTAACGAGCGAACGCTTTAACCACTAGGCTACCCGACCGCCCCTTTATCAAAGACTTCATAAATGTCGCGCCAAGTGGGTGAGTGAGTACGATTTTAAGCCGCTTTTAGCAATATTCGAGTAATATCACGGCCAACCACCTACACAAACGAAGGGACCGGTAAAGGAGTAGAAGGATAAAGGCACGTTTTGGCCCACTGGGAAATTTCAAATTTAAAAGTTGCCGACATTGGTATAAAAAGTATCAGACATGCAGGTTCGAATGGCTCACAAGTACCCTGTGTTTTTTCTTACACGTGCACGTTTTTAACTTCTGACATGATCAGTAACGTTAGTATGGCTAAAATGAATTTGTGGTGGAAATCTTAGTAAGAGTAAGTCCGTAACCAAAGATGAATACTTTACCATGTTATTCTTCACCCGTGAAGATCCGGGGTAGAATAGGTCTTCAGCAACCCATTCTTACCGACTAACGGGATCGGGTGGTCAGGCTCGCTGACTTGGTTGATGCATGTCATCGTATCCAGATTGTGTGGATCGATGCTCATGATATCAATCACTGGATTGTCTGGTCCAGACTCGATATTTACAGACCGCTGTCATATAGCTGGAATATTGCTGAGTGCGCGTTAAACAAAAAAAACAAACAAAACAAACAACATGTCCTCGGAAAATCAGTCGGCCAAAAACTTGCTCATGTCCAAACGCTTCATGAACATCATTACAATCAGCCGTGGTGACCATGTAATACACACCTATGCATTTAGTCTTGTCTTATACATATAATTGTTGAAATGAACGAATTTTTCTCATTTACATGAACACGTCCGATAACTATCAAAACTATTTCCAATAGTTTTGCTCAGTTCTTAAATTATGCAAATCCCGTGAGCCGAAACGGGCCCTTATCGTATACCTTGCCCTTTAATAATATATTGACGCCCTTTAACATACTTTCAAGCTAAACAGATATACCATCCTAGAACTAAGATAAGAGTGAGTGAGTGAGTGAGTTTGGTTTTACGCCGCTTTTAGCAATTTTCCAGCAATATCACGGCGGGGGACACCAGAAATGGGCTTCACACATAGTACCCATGTCGGGAATCGAACCCGGGTCTTCGGCGTGACGAGCGAACGCTTTAACCGCTAGGCTACCCGACCGCCCCACTAAGATAAGACAAGGCATGGGAGTTAGTTGATGCTATCTAGGTCATGTGGTGAAATACACGGTAAACAAAACTAAACATAAACATAAATTCCTTTAAAAATATAATCCTTTGAACTGCAAGTGGTTAGCATTTCAAAGCGAATCTCGGATAATTAAAGAGTTTCCTTTGTTGAGAAATGATGACAACAGATCATGTTGATGCAATCCTAACAAAGATTATATTTTTTCAAATACATAAGCGTGAAGGTATAAGCTTATCATTGGTCCACAAAGCCTATAGCATTCCGATTATTACGTCACAATCTACATTGTCCGGAATATATATAATGTAAAAATGTATATGTACACCGTTAATGAATAGCGGATTTGCGTCATCCATATAGTCTTATGTATATATAATCCATTTACCCAATGAAAAATGTTCTTTTGTTAAGACCTTGTAATGTATACCTTGAACAGACGCCATTATACTTGCAAAGAGAAAATATTCTTTTTCAAGTTTGCCTATTTTCAGAAAAGTTCGTTTAAAAACGTAGTCCTCTCCGAGGTCCGCGCGTAATAAGCGATTGTTTGTCAGTGTTTCCAAGCTTAATCTTCTCGTTCGTGATTTTTACAGCTTTTCATAGAAAGACCTTCATTTCGTTGGCCTAAGATGCAGGGGAATTGTGTCATTTTACGATGCTGAAGTTTTTCAGAACAGTGTTTCATTGTGTTTACAACTAGCGTCCTTCTAAGAAAAGTCAATATTTCCCGGTTGAAAGAAACGGAAACATCTCCTTTTTTAACATTGCGTGCATCGTCTTTAATAATATCTGATTGTGTCTGCGTCAGGATTTACTTCTAAACTAACCTTCACGTTAAGATGTTAACGCATTCTTAAACAATGTCATCAATTAATTATATACTGATGGTGTTAATTACACGTACATAAACTTTGCACGGGGACCGCTTGACAAAAGTCAAACAACAGCAGTATTCGACACAGTGAATAACTGAACACACAAAACATTCAATTAAACGCAAGCGCAATGGGTTTTTTTACAATACACACAGCAGGGTTCCCGTAATGAGCTGTAAAATAAATATATTTTTTACGTGCATATTTACCCCTGTGTGAGACAGCGCAACAGAAAGCACTGTCGAGTGTAAAAAAACACAGATTAAGTTGTCCTTCCATCTAAATGACAAAACCTCTGTTGAAAACATGCAGTCTGTATTAGCTCAGATCAATTACATGCTGAAGCTTCCGTTAAGATACTGATTAGCGTGTAAAAGCGCTGATCACGATCGACCGTGGTCATTACGGTATTGTGGGGCTGAAGAAGACATTTGTCGGTGCCCGTCTGTCAATAGCTTGCCTGAACGTATCGATCTGTCTCACACAGGTGAACAACACGTTCAATATCGCCCATGTTTATATTGACTGTGTTTAAGATCATTACACATTCCTGTCACGTGATTACAACCTTGTTGATTTTATAGGGCTATCGATTATTAAAAGAATTGGGAATACACACGTGCAGTTTAACATATGGAACATTGAATAAACGAGTGAATGTTGTTTTACGTTCAATAGCAATATTCCATCTAGTCTTTGATAAGCGTTTAGAAATTTGAAGGAATATTAATACATGACACTTTTTTTTGGGGGGGGGGGGATAACAAGTTCTTGTATTCTTTGTAACGACCTCTCACAGCTACCTCTTGCCCCTTCTTCTTGCTCGCCGACTTGGTTCATGCATGTCATAGATCCCAATTGCCTGGACCGATGCTCATGATATTAATCACTGGATTGTCTGGCTCAGACTCGATTATTTACAGACCGCCGTCATATAGCTGTAATATTGCTGAGTGCGGCGTTAAGCAACAAACCAACCAACCAACTTGCCCCTTCTTCGGGTGATCATGTTTAACAAAGAATAAAAAGTTGTTATCCATAAAAAAAAAAGTGTCATGTATTAATATTCCATCTAAACTGACAAAAGAAAGTATATATACACTTAAAAAATAACTCTTTGCTCTGCTTATTTCTGTGTACTGTGAAATTGCCACACGTTCGTTCCTTGAGACGTCACGTGCACGTCACGTGCGAGATACTCATTGATAGGATGCGTGTAACATCGCCTATGATACCCGTATCTAATACATCACCATCGAATAATCCGTTCTTGTTTGTTTCAATTTTCGCTGCTCTGTTAATAGTCTTTGTCAGGCAACCCAGTGGTTGACAGAATGAACAGTGATTAACGCCACCGGTCACGAAGACATACCATCAAGCAGGCCACTCATGATAACAGGTCGATCTCCATTTTGGCGACTCTTGCGTCACCCATTCATACCGGGAACCTAATCTACCCCGTACTTCCCAAGCTAAACTTAAATTATTAACGTTTTCATTAATTAATTATACACAATTACAACACATAAACGTAGACTGTGTCATGTGTAATATGATACATATTGTGTATTATAAATTCATTAAGTTTACAGCCATACAACATATGATTATACTCAACACGTACAGTGAAAAATATATATAAATCTTGATCATGAGATTCTGGGGTAGAATAGGTCTTCAGCAACCCCTGCTTGCCGTAAAGGCGACTATGCTTGTCGTAAAAGGCGACTAACGGGATCGGGTGGTCAGGCTCGCTGACTTGGTTGATGCATGTCATTGATCCCAATTGCGTGGATCGATGCTCATTATATTAATCACTGGATTGTCCGGTCCAGACTCGATTATTTACAGACCGCCGTCATATAGCTGGAATTTTGTTGAGTGCGGCGTTAAACAACAAACCAACAACAACAATATAATAAATCTTGGCCATAATGAAAGAAACATTTGCAAAACTGATAAAGTACATAACCTGTGTTGAAACGACATAAGTTTATTAAATCGTACTGTAAAAGAGATAACATACCTAGCTTTGCACCTCAGGTACAAGCAAACATAACATTTGAAGTGAATTAACATGTTACATAACAATGGCACTGGGCTCCTATAAAAAAAGTAATTTAAGAAATCGGAAAACACGTGTATCTCAATTAGCGAAAATGAAAGAAAACAATAACAGTTCCTTTCGTCAAAACAAAGCCATCGTGAAGTCGAATCGTGACATCAAAGGAATTGAGCAAACAGGTAAATCCTCATATATCTTAGAGCTGGCTTATCAACATCGAAGCCAGGTGAGTTACCTGTCTTGAATGAAAATGCGCTCGTGCTGACCCGGATATAAATAGCACACGTCACATGCGCGGCTAGTCTATTGATGGGCGGGGCTTAGTGACGTCACATATGAGCAGCAAGACACTTTTGAAAGGTGCAGAAGGATGGGTACGTGAAGCACATCTCTCGCGGCTCGAAGCAAAGCAACACGGATATTACCGTTCTTACTAGCCTAGCTGTTGCTTTACAAGTTATCAAAGTTTAGTATTTCACCGTCCATCAACAATGGCCGCTTACATGACTGTTGTGTATTCATGTGCAGTACTTTGTATAGTAGCGTTTTCTACCGTCAACACACAGACGACCCAATCTCTGAACGGAACACAACCCTCAACTTCGGACGTGGATACAGAAGATGGAATGATTTTAGAAAAGAGCATGGATGTTTTATTTGATATGGTGAAAGGATTTCTCGAGACCGTACAACCGAAAAAAGTATCCGAGTTACAATGGCTGAGTAAGTATTCATCCCTTCTTCACTCACTCTATCTATGTTCCCCTCTGATCGACACAACAGCCGTCAGTCCATATGTTTTCTTATTCTAGAGGTGATTTTTTCTGTCTGTCTCGCCACAAATATACATGTACGTTAAGAGGACCGCTTAACCAACTCCGTATCTTTGTAAGGTGAAAGTCTTGTCAATGACTTTATCAGCTGATATATATATCTTGTGCAAGTATTAGTCCAAGTTATTAGCAAGCAGTCAGTTAAATCATAACTATGTTCCTTTATGATTCAAGAAAGAATAAGTTATATGTATCAGATTGTTCAGATATATATATATTGTACATATTCAAGTTCAACATTGTATAGTATTATTTAAAAAATAATGGGCAATATTAGATTTTATTTCCTATTTAATAAAGTAAGATTGTGGATATTTGTAGATTTTACATGACCGGTAATAAAATGGAGGAATGTGGATTTGTTAAAAGCCCAATGCTATTTGTTTCTAGTTTTATGTAGTCATTTCGTGTTCATGATTTGTAACATTTCATAATTTATCTATCCAAATATACTACCCAACATTTGATACATTTACATATAAACTTTACATATGACAATCAGTTTTGTGGATCATGGAAATGTAAAAATATCCCTATCAAATTTGGAGTAGTATGTTTCACCATTTAAAATACTAATTATCCATGTCAATTAATGTGAAAATCAAGATAGGTTAGGTAAATAAACAAACAACCTGGACATAAAGCTTATAAGTGTATAGCTGTTTTGGCTATTAAGCGAGTCATGCATGACCAGGCATGAACAAAACCTGTCCCTGAGTCACATCTGTACAGGCAAATAGACATGCCATAAAGTCAGTGAATCACAAACATCAATATTCAGGTAAGTATTTAGCCTCAAGACAACAGCATCAACACAAGTCATCGCATTCAAGATGAAACTCATTTGTCATTATATATCCTTCAAATTATGTAAATACTGAATGACTGTGAATCTGTGTCAACCTGCTGGGATCGTAACTGTTTATTGTTGTGCCAAATGATATATACATATTTTTTGTATTTCGTGTTACGATGATTAGAGTACAGAATTGTATTTTTTAAGATTTAATGTTCAAGGATCAATATGAAATTTCCAAAAAAATGTGTTATAGACACTGCTGATGGAATTGACCATGATGATGATGATGATGATGATGGAGAGCTGATCTGTAATTGGGAGTTTTTTTCCATCACTTTGAATTAAACCAGACATTGACAACAGACAACTTAAGTATATCTCTCAATATATAGTTGTGTTGTGACAACAGGGGTTAACATGTGAGTATGAGTGCACCAAACTTAATATTTCAAGTTCAAAAGTTTTTGTTCAGGTTATTAAAGTTAACTGTTCCAACACGCAATGTCATGTATATACATTTGGGGAGGGAATCGGCCCAGTGTTGGTATCATTAGGTCAGTAAGTATACAAACTGAGTGAGTGTTTTGCCTCAGTGCAATATTATTACAATAAATCTAATAAATGTTGTTTGGTGTCCATTTTGATGATTCAATTTTGCTCCTCCATACATCAGTGCATAGCATATGCCGAGTTCCACTTGAATAATGGAATATAATAACAAAACAGGCCGGCTAACTGAACATGCTGAAGTCCCAACAGATATTGAAAATAGAATGGTTATATTGGGCAGAGCTCCAGACATGCTGTGTATTTGGGTAACATGAGTAAGATATGGAAAATAAATCAACATTACCCAATAAATTGAGTTGCTTGCGTACAAATACACATAAAAATTTCGAGAAGCCAATAGTATAACAGCACTGTTCGTAATTACCCATTGTATTCTTTCAGCTTGCAAAGTAATATGAATCAGTGTGTCTTTACACCTCTCTGTTTACTGATCACATAAGTACTAGTTTGAAGTCACCGGAAAAGGGATTTAAGGAGAATTATTTAAAAGAAATATCTACTCAACAGAATCGACCCAAGGGTGTAAAAACATAAAACCCTACTCACTCACTCACTCACTCACTCACTCACTCACTCACTCATAAACATCTGGCTGTAGTTTATCTAGGGAATAACTGAAGAAAGGAATCCAGTTCAAGTCTAGATTGCCTCACTTAAATTAAGCATTGTTCTGGGCTCCATTTGGATACTATTTTATATTTTGTAGATATATTTTTTTTTAATAAGATAACTTTATTCCTGTGACTAAACGTAAGTCTAATCAGGGCATACAGAAACACACTAAACAGTCATTAGAACAACATCCAACATAGGCTAACAAGTTAAACATGTTCAAGTCTCCCTATCATTGGTTAAATGATTAGCAAGCTCTACAGTAAACTCTTGCTTATTCCAAAGTCACAGAGTTTATGTGGTCAGGTATAGCATTGTTGACGTTGGTATTAGGTGCTCCAGTTAATCTATAAAATCATGGCGTGTGATAAACAAAGTGTTTCCTTTTCCCATGGTGTAGGTTTCGCTATGACGCAGTTCAACACATCAAACTTAAACACGACAATGTCGGAGTTGGTGGAATGTGTTTCCAGGAAAACCATTGTCGAATATACAATGTATATATGCATAAATATTTTTAATAATGTTAATGAACACACAAGGCATACTTGTAGTCTGTTCTGAAATAAGGGGCAGTCGGGTAGCCTAGTGGTTAAAACGTTCGTTCGTTACGCCAAAGGCCCGGTTTCGATTTCCGACAATGTGTGAAGCCCATTTCTGGTGTTCCCCGCCGGGATATTGCTGGAATATTACTAAATGCGGCGTAAAACCATACTCACTCACTCACTGTTCTGAAATTAAGCATGACAGTCAAGGTGTCCTTGTCTTAACCTGGATGTTAATATTTAAACATTGGGGGATCCATGCATTCCAGTACAATAGGACCCATGAAGATCCGGGGTAGAATAGGTCTTCAGCAACCATTGCTTGTTGTAAAAGGCTACTATGCTTGTTGTAAGAGGTGACTAACAGGTGACTTGGTTGATGCATGTCATCGTATCCCAATTGCGTGGATTGATGTCAATCTCTGGACTGTCTGGTCCAGACTCGATCATTTACAGACCGCCTTCATATGGCTGGAATATTGCTGAGTGCAGGGTTAAACAAACAAACAAACAAACTAAAGTTCATCAGATGCAAACTCAATAACCCCAGCCCCTCTCATAAAACATAAAATGTTGTTCACTCAGTCATTAAATGTTTCCATTGCAACTATAAATCTGTTCTTAATTTTTTTTCCTTCTTTTTCTAATGAGTTCTTGGCAGATTACTCAGCTTCTGACATTTTAGCCTATATACTTCATGCACTCAACAACGTCTGGTAATCGTAATGTACATGTTCCCCAACAAGCCAATATGACGACTGCAGCCGAAACGTTGAGGATTAATCCCCACATGGGAATATTTGCAAGCCTAAGCTTCATAAAGTCTCATGTATCAAAATATTCTGCCAACATACTTATGGGCCCCATAAGGTCTTACCTGAAGGTAATGAGAGACGACTAACGGGATCGGGTGGTCACACTCACAGACTTAGTTTATGCAGGTTATCATATCCCAGTTGGGTAGATCGATGCTCGTGATGTCAATCACTGGATTGTCTGGTCCAGACCCAATTATTTACAGGTCATCATCATATAGCTAGAATACTGCTGAATGTGGTGTTAAGCAACAAACAAATAGTGACTTGGTTGATGGCTTGTCAACATTCCCCAATGGCGTGGATCATTGCTCGTAACATCAATTGACCCAATTATTTACAGGCCATTGTCATAGAGCTGGAATATTGCTGATTGCAGCAAACAGGATGAGGATAATAAAGTCCCTGTTTGCCCCCGGGCTGCAGCTAGTGATGGCTGTGTTCATGTTATTCAATGTCAGGTGTGACCTGGTGGACTGTGGTTATTTATCATGCTTGCATCTGCATTTAAACTTCATCCTGGTGTATTGTTAAAAGATTATCATGTTTTCAAAGGGCAAATTAAACAATCTTGTACTTACCATGCTTACAGTGTTATCTGAGAACCAGGAAGCAGTTGATGCTATCAGTGTTTGGCGTCAGTGATAACACATGTCAGCCTCACTAACTAATTTGTGTAAAGTCATACAAGGCAAGTGTAAGTTTACACTTGTCTTGTATGACTTTACACACTAGGTATGTGATAACATTCTGTAACACATATTAGATTTATACAACCAGCTCAGTATTTATCATTGTTTATCAACTGATCAGCTCTTCCTGTTATTAGTATGTTGTTGCTTGCTCTACAATGACACAGTGCAGCCTTTGAAAAATTATTGATCAAAATGTACTGGGTTATATGGGGTGCATGGTGCAGGTTATGGGGTGCTAGTTTGTTGGTTAATGGGGTGCAGGTTTGGGGTGCTAGTTTGTTGGTTAATGGGGTGCAGGTTTGGGGTGCTAGTTTGCTGATTAATGGGTTGCAGATTTAGGGTGCTAGTTTGTTGGTTAATGGGGTGCAGGTTTAGGGTGCTAGTTTGCTGTTAATGGGGTGCAGGTTTGGGGTGCTAGTTTGCTGTTAATGGGGTGCTAGTTTGTTGGTTAATGGGGTGCAGGTTTGGGGTGTTAGTTTGCTGTTAATGGGGTGCAGGTTTGGGGTGCTAGTTTGCTGTTAATGGGGTGCAGGTTTGGGGTGCTAGTTTGTTGGTTAATGGGGTGCAGGTTTTTTGTGCTAGTTTGCTGGTTTAATGGGGTGCAGGTTTGGGGTTGACATTGAGTTTGGGCTTGTGGCTTGTTAGTAGCAAATTGTAGAGTGCAAGCCGTGGGATGTGGTTTGAAATTCTGTATTATCTAAAATTATAAAAATTATCAATCCAAGAGAAAAACCAGTCCAGATATCCGCTGAAACGACAGAATCCAACTACTGCTATTTTACCTAAAGTTGAACCCCTCCCCACCTCAATAGAATTCCTGCCACCCACTCTGTCTTGCCGAGTCTTGCTCACCA